GTGGGAGATAATTAACTGAGCTTAAACAGCTGCTCCATTGGAACAGTTTCTATGATGCCTTCTAATTTCCACTGTTGGAATACAGCATTATAGGCTTCGAAGTTATTTTCGTTCAACAAACGGTTTGTTACTGTGTGAAGTCATGATTCAGCTATATTGTACTTATCATAAAGAGCAGGATGCCCAGCTAGCCACAGCAAAGCTACTTCATAACGTCCATTTTCACATACCCTTAAGGTTTCCTTGAAATGGATCAAAGTTTCTTCTTCAAGAAGGATCTTATTTTTCCTTTCTACAGGATCAGTAATCCCTAAAACTTCTAAATCCCATATATTTAGCAACTCAAAATTTTGAAAATTTAACGTGACCAAATTAACCACTTGCCTTTTCTTGCCTAGTCCTAAAATTGTCCAATCTAATAAAGTCTCTATAGCTGAAACTCCAAATGTAAGTACCTCAATTCTTCCCATTAAAATGCTTCCAAGTACATCGGCTTCTTAGAAGAACTCATATAGGTGGGGTATCTCTTCCAACATCTGTCAGTTTTATCCCTCGTGAAGCAAGCTCAACAAGCAGTATTTCCATACCTGCCAACCTCTAAAGATAAAAATTCAGAAGATTTCTCCCCCAAATTCAGAAGATTTCTCCAAAATTCAGAAGAACATGAAGAATTAATATCATGCTTTGATATTAAAAAATAACAATTTATACAGAAAAAAGAAAATTGTACTTACATTAGTAAATCTCAATTAAGTAGTAACTAAAAAAATTTATTAGGAAACAAAAACAGAACTTAATGTTACACAAAAAAATTATTGCAATGAATTTAGAGTGCATTTTTTGGATTTAGTCAAAAAATTGCTTTGGACAATCCACGTTCGCTGAGTAATTCCCTTGCTGCTGAAGCAAACGCGAAAAAAAATAATCTGGCACCCATAAAGAAAAGAGTGGGAGAAACAAGTTCTGTGCATTGGATTGGCTGGTTAAGCGGCGAGTTGGGAGAAACCGCAGGTCACTGGAGTCGAAGTAGTCGGTAGCTGGCGGTAAAACGATACGACTGCGAAAATCACTGAATTGGGAAAAAATTCTAAAATTCCGACAAAAATCACTAAAAACACTTGAAAAAGGGAAAAAATCGTAAAAAATGGATTACGATCATAAAATCGTAAAGACAAACGCATTTTCGTAAAAATTACGAAAAATTCATAAAAGTTGGCAGGTATGTAGTCATTACGTATTTTGGGTAGCGTTGAACAAATTTTCTGTTGATCAAGCAGAGACATTGAAGTAGAATACTTTCGATCTAAACTTTCAATAGTTACTGTATATCTATTATGCTCGGCAGCCGGAGAAATTCCTTTGCCAAACAGTCCTTGAGATAACACTTCCTTTCTGGAAGGAGGAAGATTTAAATCAGCAGCTAAGCTCTTCTCAATATAGGAACGATGTGATCCAGCATACATTAATGCTCGAACACAGATATCTTTGCCCTTATGCCGTAATCTGATTGCGAATGATTTCAAATATATTTCACGTTCTGAAGGAATATTTTGTCAATACAGTCTCTGTAGAATTTTGTTTTTTATCTGCTACTTTGTCCTTTGATGAGGAATTAATATCTTTATGTAAATCTGGGCAAAGTAACGCGTAATGTCTCTGTGCACAAATCAAACATTTCACATTACTGTGACACCTTTTTGCCATATGACCAGGCTTAAAGCAAACAAAGCAGCATCATTTGCATATAATTTGAGATTTCCTCTCATCTAGAGTCATCTTAGGTGCTTTCTTACAGTCTCTACTAAAGTGTGGATGATCACAAAAATAACATTTACCTTTTCCTGCGTGGATGAAATAAGAGCTGAAGCAGAAGAGATATCATTTCTTGTAGTATCAACTTCCCTTTTAACCTTGAGTTCCGAAACCTGATCAAACCAATTTATAATCTCTTCCGATTCGACTTCATCACGTAAGTTTTTCCAGGAATCTCTGACTTGTAGCTTCTGCTTCATCAATATTTTCTGAAATTCTACTTCTTTCCCGCGCTCGCAGAACATTTTCTGGCAAACATGGCTCTAAAAGTCAGTAAATTTTCCCTTTTGTGAGCCCTAAACTTTCCATGCTATTAATTTTGTCTCTAGCATATCGTACAGGGTAACTAAATCAGGGGCATTCTTCCCAGCCGTAGCATTTTTCAGAACCAGTGAAAGGAAATCGTGGACATATATTTGCACTAGGAGATCCTCCCGGCCAAATCTTAATTTCAGCTGTTGAATAACCTTTGGATAATTTTCTGCTGTTATTCGGAAACTGGATATTAATCTAGCAGCTCTTGAATCAGGCACCATAGACTGGTATAAATGCGGGAATTTGTCTATAGCATTCGGTTCCTCTGAGTCATGTATTTTTGAAAAAATACTCCAAAATGTTAACAATTCTTTGTGACCTGAAAACATTTTTAATTCAAAGTTAGGTAATTTTAATTTACCCCATCACGCTCTGCAGGACTTTCCAAAAGAGATCCAGAATCTTTACTTAATAGTGTTTCTATCTTTGATTTAAGCTCAAGATATTTATCTTTATAATCCTCTGCCGCCTCAAATTTGGGTTTGTATTCAGTAACAACCTCAGTATTTTCTAAGAGTAATGATGAAATGTTATTCTGAATCTCATCTAAACGTAAAAATTTACCTCGTAACTGAGCGTTCAACATGCTCAGCTTTTCTCTATCCTTGGTGTCTACTTTCGTCACCAAATATTGCTTCAACCTAAACACCGTAGACGTAAATGAAGCTCTTAACGACTTTCGTTCTATTTTCAGAGCATCCATATTTGTATGTACACTTAAAATAATTCTTAATTTCTATTTATACTGAACAAATTAAAGTGTTTATACTTTCTTAAACTTAAATCACTTTATCATCATAAACAGCTTATCATATACTTATAAGCAGTAATTTAAATCATTCGTACCTGTACACTTTTATAATTTCAAATTCTGAATTCTTCAAAAATAATACAAACTCTGTCCTGTCTTCAGACGCCAATTTTGTTTTTATTCGAATTTGGACTTCATTTTATATCCCATTTATTTCACTTTATGAACACATACAAATAAAAGTGATTATTTACATGTAGAGTTTAGTATAAATAGATCCGTACATCTTAATGGTGAAAAAACATTTAGTATTTCAGTAACATAACTAACTTAACTGCTGCTTGCTTAGAAGAACGGGAATTTCCGACCACAACATTTGAAAATGGTTGCCAGATTCATAAATCAAACAAAATTACATAACAAACTCTTAAATAATAATAAATGGGAAATATAAAACTTCATAGGAGTTACAACAAATACTACACTAGATTCTGTTTTAAAATAGGAACTTTAAGGTAATTTTCTACCATCTGACTTGCCTTGTAACCATAGGAATGACAGCTACCCCAGATACTTTGAGTCTTCCAATATTTTTCCTCCACTACATTTCCATTTTACATGTTGTGCTTCATGAAAAGCACATATATAATGACTGACTTAAATTACAGTCTCAATTAGGTGAAGAAAATACTGTATATATGTGTGTATAAGTTGATCCCCCGACTTTTTAGAAAAATTTTCGGAAAAACAAATTTGTCGCATGAGCGGCACAGCTGCTGCCTATAAAACAGCATGCCGATGTACTTGATAAAATACACTTAAGCAAATTTTTATTTATTTCCTTTTTAGTAAATGATAAGCTCGATGCAGTCGAAACATATCTCAAATCAAAAGCAAATCTGTTTTTTTTTTTTTTTTTTTTTTTACACCACACATTTTGAAACCAATCAACTGTAAAACAATTTTCGTCCATCCAACCATTTTTCTGGGTGCGAACAAGAACACCTACCAGAAATGCTGTCAAATGCTGCAGAAATACATTTAGTAAAAAAACTAATAAATAAATGGAAGGAATACATAACAATTTTGCGTTTTTTCTGTATGAATGATATATTTAATAATCGAGTTCCTGACGTGTCATCAATTGGCAGTGCAGGATCTTATTTTTTTTTTTTTTTTTTTTTTCTTTTTAGGTTCCGCATATAAGTCGACCCCTCTACTTCGAGGTTTGATTTTTTTCTTAACATTGTCAACTTATACCCAAGTATATACGGCAAGTGGTGTGTGGTGATGACAACATCTGTTATGACCACAAATGGGGAGGGTGGCAACAGCCTTAAAACATCTAATTTAGAGAAACATAATATAACTGCAGTGACGTTGATCTTATTCTGGGTAACCCTGTATGGTGCAAGATGTTATATACTGCCCCACCATAGTATGTTTAATGCAACACCACTAGTATGATGCCTTTAGTGGTAACTTCAATATGTAAACATATAATTACATTCAACTTAGCAAGTATTATGTTTTTTATAATTGCATTAGACAAAAAAATGTAACATATTACATTAAAACTAATGAAAGAGTTGAGCTTAATGTTTCTTCTTTTAATTTCTAAATCTAAATTAAAATTTCGTGACTCCATTTCGGGTCATAACCCACAGTCTATGAAAAGCTGATCTAAATCATTAAAAAAAAATTTTGGTAGTCTCTATAAAAAGAAATAAGGAATTTTAGGAAAACACTATTTGTTTTCTAAAAGAAGTGTATAACAGTACATTACCCAGATTGAATATTACTTTTATGGTATTTCAAATTAAAACTGAAGATGTAAAAATTACAATGGATTGAAAAGTGAAAAACCTAAGTCAACCATCAAAGCAATAAAGCACTCATCAATTAAAATCAGAAACAGTTTAATTATGTATCTGGATATCCTAATTTAAAATGTAACTATAATGTGAATGCTGTACAACAAAAGCTATTTAAAATATTATCAGCAAATGCAAATAATGAATATAAAATTGAATTACTAAAACTGAACAATCATAAACTGAATTTTTTAAAAAAAAACTGGATCACAGTTAGAATTTGAAAATTTTTCTATCCATTAACTTACATTGGCTTATCATCTGGATAAGGTAAAACAATAGGTATGCCACATTTACTTGTTTGAGACATTTCAGAATGCCTTTCAGCTAATGCCACCTGAAGACCACTAACATCAAAGGACTATAAAAGATGAAATATTTTTTTAGACATTTTAATGCAATTTTGAATATTCCAGTTTTTAAGCAAGATATTGCGAAGCATTTCACAATAATCATCCATAATTTTTAATTACATTCAAGACTGACAAATTCTGGAGAAATTTCTGGGGATTCTTACAATTTGCTGTGGATTATTCTTCATATATTTAAAGAAATTTATTATACTTATTATATATATTATTTTCACGAATCATACCATTATTGGAGAATCAATGTTACATATTTCTTATGCTCAGTAACCCATTTTTTACATTTTCTGGATGTTGAAGATCAATACCCAGATGATTACAGATAAAGCATAGTAAAAGTATATCATCCAATGGTTTTGGACAAACTTAAAATTCAGCCCCTTTTAACTGGCACCCCCTGCCATATAATAGCACTCCTAGCATTTCTTTCAGCAATATTCAGAAAGACTTTCAGTTACATCATGTCATTTTGCCATTTTAAGTTAATATTTGCATAAAACTTTGTGTTTATATATCATTTTCTTTATTTACTAAGATAGTTTTCAAAATTCGATTAAAAAAACTGATAAGAATAAAATGGAAATGTGATTTCAGCAATTCATCAAAAGCATTTAAATGGTGGTGCCATAATGCTAAATGTGCTGAATCTGCAGGTAACAAAATAAATGGATAAGGAGGATGATTTAACCAAAATTACTCCACAGGTGACTGGTGAAATATTAATGCTTTTAGAAGTTGATGTCTGAAGAATAGGTCAGAGTTGCAATGTCTCAAAAACATGGCTCTGACCAAAATATCGGCCAGAAAAATTCTGCTCACCTCTCACGCTCCAAGGATTATCATAGTCTTACTACCTTCCCTGCCATTTGCCGGTAACATTCACACCTAGTAAGCGCTACTCATATCTATGAGCTTTTGTAAATTTCCTTTTGTTTTGTCCCAACATTGGAATATTAATTGGGGGTGAAAAACTTTCAATGCATTTCATATGATTCAATGGTTCTCTAGAATTCTACAGTAATACTTGCCTATGCCTTAGACACAATGTAAAATAAAAAAGAGTGCTTGGGAAAAAATTGAGAAATTGCTTCAAAATCTTGGTAATAAAGCTTTCGGCGACAGTCATTCTGAATGCAAAATTGATAGTGATATGAGACCTAATCATACTTATATGCCTATGGTATATACATATGCATCTGAGGTAAGAATATATATGCAAAATAAGGTGAATATGTAACATGTATATATGCTAACTTTGTATGTATACAGCATGTTTCAAAAAGAATATTCGAATAACATTTAGCCTTCTCAGTCAGTACTAATGCATACGTACAAGATTTGAATGTCAGTCATCCAACACATTCATGACTATGTATATGAGTTTGGTCTACTTCAATTAAATGTATAATCTACTGAAATTGATTCATTCTATCCAAATTTATTTGGACAAATTCAAAAACATTTATATTTTTATGCTAGTAACATTTGACCAATGTTCTCAGGGATTTTTTAAGGATTGAATTTAGAATTTTAGTTTAGGAATTTAGAATTTCAATTTAGAATTAGTTTGTGTTACTAGCAAGGATATTACTTTGATTTCAAATGGAATGTAACGATGAGAATCTTTGAATCAATACGAAACGCCAAATTTCACTTTTTAAACTGTATGACATATGAATATGAAACTTTACAAGTTCATATTACAGAAACTTCTCAAGTTCAGATTACAGATGTTCAATATGTCCTCCATCAGCGACACAAAATATATCACATCGATACTCAAATTCCTCCCATACTGAGGCAAGCATGTCCATCGTCACTGATGTTATGACAGTACAGATCCGGTTCTTCACATCTCCCATGTTCTGAGAGAGTGGTGGTACATAAACGTTGTCTTTAATGAAACCCCACAGGAAGAAGTCACAGGATGTCGAATCCAGTGACCGTGGATGCCAGCTGAGACATGCTAAGTCGCCAGTTCCTCGACGACCAATCCAACAGTTCGGTAGACACTGGCACGACAAGTTGATTTTGAAGGACTACGTTTGAAAGCAGTTTGAATTCATACAACATTTTCGTCAGGAACATGAGGGCTGCCAGGACTCCTTCCTTTACATATACATCCCGTATTTATAAACTGTCAATACCATCTGCGAATGTTCCACCCAATCAGAAGATCACTTTGGTACTTCAGCTTGAAATATCTTTGCACTGTAATCACGGAATTGCCCTTTGCAAACTCGAGAACACAAAATGATTTCTTCTGCGGAGTAGCTGTTTTAAACATGTGACGGTTACCACGCAAAACAGAAGACAACTGACATCTAGCGGCTATTAATATAAACTAGACTATGTATTCGTTTCGCCAATAGCCAAGCCAAGGCGCAGTGGTTGATAGTTTAAACAAAATAACACTTTGTAAAACGTATATTCTTTTTGAAATCCTCTGTATACAAAAAGATGTATATTATATGCATACATAGATAAACACATACATAAATATGTGTATATACTATGTATATATAGTATCTGTGCAGATGTATCTATTTTCTAATAGTGAAATTTCATTTATAGTCTCAATTATTATCGTTTGATGAAACGCGCTATAGGTATTAACTTAATTTGAGTTTTGAGCTGCTTTTCCATTGATAAATCCGGCGTAAACCTCAAGTTGAGCTATTTACCATTTGTTGCAATTTTTTGTACATATCTTGAATTTTTGTAATATGTTTAATTTTTACAACAGTCCTTTTATAATTCTTTGTGTGATAAAATTTATTAATTTTTTCTAACCCCTTTTTGATTTTGAAGTCATCTCGACTTGTAATTTTAACATTTAGTTTTTACGAGATTGCTTTTACTACTTTATTATTGTTTCTAGATGTTGAATGATTTTACATTTTTGCTAAGGAACTATAGAGTCAAGAGAATTTTTTAGAATAAGCTTTTAAACGTTCCTCTTACTTCTAAATTTTTTTTTAATTTGCAGCTTAATGCGCAAAATTCTTAACCATTAAGGTCTCTTTAATTCATGTTGTCTTGCTACTTTTGCGTATATATATATATATATATAATTATTAATACTTATGTAATTGTACCTTTACGTAATTACATGGGTATTACAAATTTCTATGTTTATATACATTAAGTACTCTATTTCTTTGGTTCTAAAATTCCCTTTTTTGTTCTACATAAAGTCTCAGTAAATGTTTCATCTCAAAACTATTAATATATGTATCAATTTGCTTCAATTTCTGTCTTATAAGAAATTACACCCATGTCAATAACAGTCAGGTCATATCTTAAGTCAACTGGATATCATTTATTGGCAGATCAGTAAGTCACTATATACGAATAGTTCTCATAAGTTCTATTTCCTGCTGTTGAATAGATTAACTGCATAAAAGTTTCAATTTTTTTCACAATGTGCAAACATATGGGCTAGTTCTGTATCGAAAGTCCTTAACGATGTTATTTGCCCATACAAGCAAACAGCACTAGTATAGTTTTGCAAAATCATAGAATCCTATCCCTCCATTTATCCTTTCATATTTTACTGTGAAAGTAAATTCCTTTTCAGCATAGGCCTGTTGTTTTCTAAATATATGAATGAAGTTGTCATTATAATGAAGTAATAATGAAAAATACTATTTTACTTGCATTTGTAAGGTCAATGTTCCTCACATATCCATTATGCATAATGAAAAAACGATCTAAATTCCTATAGATATGACTAGCTACAAATTCCCATAGATCTACATTTTGACAAGATATCTGTTTATGAAACGTGCATACATATATAAATAAAAATACATTTATAAATTAAAATGCATACATATATAAATAAAAATTGGATTATTTGGATTACAGCCAAGGCATACAGGAGAAGTGGCTTCATGAAGGACTTTTAAAGGGAAACTGCTTGGTATTCATGTTACATGAGGCCACATATAGCCAGCTCATTCAGCGAGACCTGAATCGAGTCCAACTACCAATATTAATTGATTTTACCATTCAAATTTAAACAAATTAAACAAATTAAACTGTTAAAAAACAAATTAAAGCTGATTAGGAATATCCAGGAAGTATTTGCTACCAGGGCCTATTTGCTGTTTGCAAAAGTTAATATTCCATCATTCGATAATAAATTACTTCAGCTATGAAATAGCAACTTCATGGGTTTCCCTAGTTTAAAGAAAAGAGGCCAGCAGGAAAAAAAAAAAGGCTCCTTCGTATTCCCTAGGCTCTTAGCCGAAAATTAACAAAGGTAACCAACCTCCTAGAGCAAAGGTTACAAAAGAGGAGTATTTCCCCTTGCAATCCTACCTGAAAGAGGATGGAAGTGCATTCCTATTTCCCATCTTTTTAAGTAAAACCTTTCCAAATTTTACTGCTTTTTAAAGGTTGAATACATTTCTGAAATCTATCCCAAAACTGAAAAATATAATACAGGAGAAATAATAAATATTCATATTCTACAGGATGACTTTGCAATAAGAAAAGAGCAGACTCTAGAAAGCACTGGAATTTTATTTAACTGGAATTATAATTAGAAAAACTACATGAATTATTAGTACTGCTGACTTTAAAGGGAAAAAAAATGGTTGAATATAAATTATGAATAAATTTATTTACTAATAAGTTTTATTCCTCAAATATACTTAAAGAATTATTTACTACACTGCAATTTTTTTTTTCCTTTTTTTTTTTTTTTCTTTTCTTTTTCATTTCTCAAAGCATTCTATAATGCCTCCCTCCAAACAAATTTTTTGTGACAGCATACAATTTTAGTCTTAAGTTTTACAAGTGTCACATTATATTTTTTTTCAGTAAACAGAATTATATTAACTTACTTGCATTTCAGAAACATCCATCTGAATGACTTGTGAAGGAGTTTTCTTGAACAGCTTAAATAAGAAAATATGAACATTATGAAAAGATAAATATAATCAGAAAGCAATTGTTAATAGAATAAATAAGTTCGGTAATTTAAATTCATAAAATGACTTGATTGAACCTTCTTTCAACCACTTCAAATCCCAAATGATATCCCTGCATTAAAAACATAACATAAAGCACTAAAAATGTAATAAAAGTTTCACATGTGTAATGAAATGAGATAAAAACAATTAAGGAATCTGTCTTTCAAGTAATACTGGTAATAATAAAAATATTACAAATTTTAAAAAATTTCCATTTGTATATTTAAATAGCAATATTATACTGACAAATCTAGCTTAGTGCATTGAAAGGTAAAAGGATGAACTCAAAATAATGGTTTAAATTAACATGTATTTCTTCTTATTTCTAAAGTAATCAAAACTCTCTTAAAAGGCTTATTTAAGACAAAAAAGAACTACCATATAACAGTTGGTTCATTAATACATATGAATTTTGATTAACAGACACTCCTCATTCTCTAAATAGAAATGCATACACTCCCATTTGGCGAACACTCACTCATAATGAACGAAAGCTTTAGTCTCATGAATGTCCATTTACAGGAGATTCGTCTATATATACCTTCTTTAATTCCTGATCTTGGCCAAAATGTTGTGGAAAAGTATGCATCACAATAACTTTAATATGAATGTAGCATATGTCTGTTTTAATCAGATCGCAAAGCGGAAGTTGTACGGAGCTGAGTTCATACAATTCTCTGAGACTTTGTTAAGCAAAACCACATCGCTGTGTACATGAACAGTGTAACAATATTAAACAGAATTATTTCTTGAAAAAGTTAAGTGGTTTTTTAATGTGCCTTTCTTTTAAAATTTTATTGACTGTTTGCTCTTGTAATGAATTCTTAGTATGCTGACATTCTGAAAAATGATGTTGGCAGTCATGCATTAGCTTGGGAAAAAATTACTTCCAATGAATTTTCGAATTTTAAACTTTGATAATCAGAAAGTAACAAAAATTCTTTTATTTTTAAAAAACATTCTTTAAAAAATACTGTTGAAATCATAAGCTTAAGACAATTTTGTGGTTTAAAATAACAGAATTACATACATACTTTATTACAGTAGTTTCAAAAAGATGCAAGAGCAATTATAAATTAATTCTGAATGGCATGACCACCTTTCTCTGGTCTTGAAACTTTTTGTACTTAACATAATATTAGCTTATAATTTTAAAAAAAAAAAAAAATCTTTTTTTTTTCCTTGTTTTCTTTAATATAGTCTTAATGAACAGAAATTCAGGAAAACAGACACAAAATAAGTAATTATACAAATTTAGCTCAAATAAGCTATTTCAGTACAGTTCTTTATGAGGATATTCAAAATAGCTGTCACTCAGAGGCTTCAAAACTGCAAGATATCCATAACTATATACCAGGGGTTCTCAACTAGGATGAATTTTGCAGTTTCAGTGAGGAATGCAGTCATTTATTTTATTTTACCTGTTAAGAATTTAATTTAGTTTATTATATAAAAAATAAATTAAGTTTATTATATAAAAATAAATTAAGTTTATTAATATAAAAAACTAATTTTATTGGAGTTTGGGTATTTATCAATATTTCCTATACTTTTTCTTGTTTAATTCATAAAACATAGAATTCAAATTTAAATAAGTGTATATGTGTCTTTTCAGGTTTGGAAAGGCGGGGGCAGTGATCCTCTGGCAATGGTGAAAGAAAGGGGTTCAAAAATGGTTGAGAACCACTGCTATACAATATTTATGTACCTTTCTAATCTGACAACTAATTTCTAATTTCAGCAGCCAATCCATTGCCATACTAGCCAGCTTTGTAAGACACCTAAAACTTTTTTGAAACATATTTAGAAAAAAAAAAAAAGTTTAAAGAGAATTTTCTTTTGTAAGAACCCTTTTAAAGTATCTGAATATTTTGAAACAATTGCACCGAAAAATTCTTATAAAAAAGTAAAAGTAGAATGAAATTAATTTTAAAATATGTATAATTATAATAGCATTTTTTTTTTTTTTTTTTTTTTTTTTTTTTTTTTTGCTAAAGAATAATTTGCAAATTGTGCTTTATTATATTATCTTAAAGTGTCTTTTACCATTTCGGAGATTTATAAGTGTCTTGATTCTGAAAAATGAAAGAAAATGTGTTTTCTTATTGTTATTTTTCTACAAATATAATTTTAGTACATTATCTACACTTGTAAAAAATAATTAATCATAATTCATAGTCATTCAAACAAAAAATGCAGTAAACAAACTGATCCTAAAATCACCAGATGTCGACAAGTCATCAGACTCAACAGACTATAAAAGAATTACAGTTCCAAAAAGAGAAAAATTTTCCCCTAGTGTAATAATGAGGAATGAATTTGAACAATAATCCAAATATCCGCTAAGTGTACATTTTAAATACATACTTGGACTAATCTTCAAATTAGCACCTTTAAAAAAATGAAAATTTATACAAAATTAATAGCACATTAAGAAACTGATCATAGATCAGAAAAAATATCAAAAATTACGAAAAAGTTAGTAAAATTTTGAAGATGTACATTGCTCATAGTAGCCCTGAGCCAGGGTAGTTCAAATTGATTGCACAAACATATGGCCCTTCCCAAAATTAGATTGTTCAAATTCTGGCAAATAATTTATGACTATGTCTTTTTCCAAGTGTTTTTCATGTTATTCATGTCTAATGTCCCTACTCTTGAAGAGTTTCCAGATTCAAATACTTTCATTACAGTATGTCAAAGCACAGCTATAAGGTGAACTACGAATTCTAAGAATTTAGTTTAATGCAAATACATAGTATTCTTGTTCATAACATCTGTTTTAAAGGTTGGATAAACAACAACCATGTACCCCCAAATTTCACCCTGTGATGGCCAACTGATATTCTTAGATATAGGCGGCCAGATAAGCAAAATTAAGTACCATTTCTAAGCATTGAACAACATTAAGGACTTAACAACCAAAATTTCTTCCATAAAAACTATGGACTTTTAAGAATTATAAGAACCCTATACAGCAAAATAATAATTCTTTTTTTTTATTATTATTATTATTATTTCACCGCAGAAATTCCCTGTTTTTAATTACAAAACTAATTTTCTATGTTTAATGGTAGAGTAAAAAAAACTATTTTTATACTCTAATTGTGTAAAATTCTAAAAAGGAATTTTGAAATTTAAATTTGAAAACTAGTCTTGGTCTGAAATAAATGCTTAAACTAATTATAGCTTTCAAAATTTAAACAACTAGACATATTATCATGAAACTGCTAAAACTGCAGTACATTCCTGGCCACAGTTCTCATTGGCAAATCTGGCCTATGGCACAATCATGACACTTGGTATTTCAAAGGAATAAACTAAAAATAAATCTTTCTCAAAATACAGGAAAAACTTTTAAAAGGCTACAGAAGTAAAAACTTACATCTTTAGTAGGCATAGATATTAACTGAGATAAAAAATATTTTTCAGAGTTTGTAAGTCGAGGCAATGCCCAAGGTCTTTTAGTTAATGCTCCTGTTGTCTTTGACTTCATTTCTTCAGGTGGATGCTAAATAAAAACACAAAGAATTTAATATTATTTGCTACACAATACATTAAAGTAATTTTCATTTCACTAATAATGGAAACAGTAAAAAATTTCAGCGAATGTATGAAAACAGAAACTACAAAAAGGAACTTAATTACCTCTAAATTGTGGTGACAACGACTATCACAATACTTGTATATAGTGAAATTTTAAAGACTATGCAATTTTCTGTATTATTAAGTGAAAAGGGAAAGATACGGATTTTGGATTAACAAATGAAATATTTTTACTCACAGCAAATAACAGACCCAGAGCTTAAAAATGTTAAATAATGTTCCTTAAAAGGAACTCAATTTGTCATAACTTAATTTATGTATTAATGCAACCATCTCTGTGCAGTTTAGCAATTTTTTGTTAACAGTTTAGCAACAAAAGCAAAAGAATGAGAAAATTTATAATTGCAAAAAACAGTTATGTTTGAATGCATTTACACTTAAAATCAATTTAAAAAAAATTCAGCCTTCCACTTGTTTTTAAACTGGCCCATGGGATAATATTGCTTTTTGTGTATAAAATAAATAAAATTATGCACTATTATGCAACAGCATACAGTTGAGCTAAAAAACTATACTGCAAATTGCTATAGTCGTATTCTCTCATTTTTCATTTTGCACTGCACAAGTGTGTTGACAGTTTTACTATAGCAGTGCATGTGGAAGCATCTGTCAAGATACTCCACAATGTTTTGTTCTTTATATTTTATCTTATTCATTACCTACCATTACCATGTCACTCTCAGAATCAAATAAGAAGAGAAAAGGAGACATCAAATGCAGTGCCAGTTAGTAGGATGGAGTACCAGTTATTTTGTCATAGAATTGAATGGCAAAGTTTTATGCTTAATATGCAATGATACTATAGCTGTGTGAAAATATAGCATAGCTTTATCTAAAAAAACTTACCATGAATTTTATAATTTTAATTACATTTCAGTATTTCTGAGGCATCAAAACAACTTCCACCATTAACAAAATACATGCAAAGACATCAAAGCAACAACTTCCACCATTAACAAAATACATGCAAAGGCATTTATCAAAACAACAATTTCTATCTTGCTTTGATAAATGAGTTTGCATACATATTTAAATATAATATTAGACATTTCTCACATATAATTTCTTGACAATTTCATTAACTCAAATTTTTAATTCTGTTCCATTGAAACCAATTATCATATGAGCTCCCAATTTTTGTCATAATTCTGGAAGATTTATAGATTTAAAAAATTACCATTTCCCAAATCAAGCCACACCTCAAAGGAAGATTGTCATGTTAGTCATTTATACAGTTCTCTAAATGCATAGTATTGGGCTGAAACATATAAGTAATGGCCTTTTATGTTGCATTTAAAATTATGTGGTAAAAATAAAATGTATTGGCATAATCTTTTGTGTTATTCAAAAGAGAATCTTTCCCTCCACAAGATGGCGTATTTGATTTTTTGTCTGAGCTAATTTTTGTTATTTTTCAGATCATTAAAATGGAGTGTCAAGTCGACAAAAATAAGCATTTTCAACACTACCTTCTTTTTGCATTTAATTGAGGCGCCAATGCTGCAGAAGCTGCCCGAGAGATTTGTGAAGTATATGAAGAAGGTCCAATGCCTGAACGAACTGCAAAAAATTGGTTTGGCAAATTAAAAAATGGAAATTTAGACATCAAAGACGCTGCTCGTTCCGAACGACCAAATGAGTTTAATGAAGAGCATTTGAATCAACTTCTGCACAAAGACATGCATCAAACCACTCGAGAATTAGCCGACTGAATGGGTTGTAGCCAAATGACTATAGTTCAACATCTTGGATCTATGGAAAAATCCAAAAACTCTGATATTATTGATTAATTTATTGCTTTTTGTTTTGTTAAAATAAAAATTTTAAAATTAAAAAAAAAAGAAACATTTCTTACATTTCAACCCAATAGATGGCTTTCGTACCTCAATAACCTATTTATGGCTAAATAAGAGAAAATGCAAATTGAACTAAAATATTACATTTAAGAATAAAATTGTAAATTAATAAATCAAGAACAAGATAATTAATGAATAATTTGGAAGTTAAATAATAGAAGAATGCAGTGCCATATAGAAGAAATAAAAATATGAAAGCTAGGAACAAAACATCTAGCAACACCACCAGAACTGGTTGATTCACGCGTTAGAAAATAAAATAAAAAATTACAATATGAAAGAGCTTTCATTTAACTCTGTCATAGTTCTCAAAGTTCACTAAGCTCATTACTACATTTCCTTTATGTTGGTAAGAAATGGAAGAATTTGCAAAAAATATCACATTTAATAAAAGTCAATATTTATACTCACTATCAAAGAATTTGAAAATACAAATATTTATCTACTAACTGTTTACAAAACATTCCCTGCATGTAAATAAGAAAAAAATTTTGGGTACATCCTGATCATCCACAACTCCTCTGAAATGTCATGAACTTTTTGGCAACTAATACTTTGCCAAACTAATACATGAAAGGCAACAGCTATTTTCAAAATGGAGGCACACTAAGAATTCTGCACAAGAGCAATCCATCAATAAAATTGGAAAAGGAAGAAGCATTGGTAATAAAACACTTATTTTTCTTGATGGATTGTCCTGCTGTTCTGGCAAACTTCTTTTGCTTTAAAAAAAAGTCAGAGAACTGCAAAAATGTGACATCATACAACATTCACATTGCACATTAGCCAAAACATACATATAATAAGTGCACACAGGTGTTACCACATAAATATTTTGGCAACATTCTGCCTTGTCTCACAAATGCTTTTTAAAACCTTTTCGACAGGGATGTGGATAATCAGAAAGTACCATTTTTTTTTAACTACAACTGATTCAAAAACATCACATTTCCTGTTGAATTTCTTCTTAGTTCTTGCATCTTATTTTCACAGTAGTACAGCTACTTCATCTTTTCAATTCAAAATAAAAATATAATCATGAATTTTACATACCAATAAATGAATAAACACAGATGCAAATGGGTTAGCTTGAATAGGTTCTGTCCTATACATTTCATAAATCAAGAAAACAGCAATCAGTCTTTGCTCTCTCCTCGGAAGAAGATCTTCATTTTGCAATAAAAGAACCTGAAAATATTCCCATCATGTAAATTTTATGCCCCATATATTACAAGGTTACATTTCTTCCAGGACAATGGAAGAAATTAGAAAATTTTAAAAAGAGAGGGAGGAAACCAGAAGAAATGAATAATGATGCACACAAAGACCTGCTAAAGAGGATAAATTATTAATAACACTTTAACTCATTTGAAAACAAATGTTTGATTAGTTCTACAATAAAATATAGATTAGATTTTTTCACAAAATGCAGTAGAATTCTTATGTATGTTAATGTAATTTTTCACTCTAAGACGATGCTGATCCAATAAGAAAACAATGATAGCAATTTAAAATTTTGTAAATGAATTTTTTTTTAATTTACATATTTAATGCTTTTTGAATTTGCACAACTAAATACAGTTGAACCCCATATATGAAAAGAATATTAATGGAAAATTTATTAGCTTCATTTTGATTAAACTGTAAGACAATTAATTTACAAAGAAAGGGGGGTCTGTTAAATTGTTTATTACATATTTGTAGTTCAGAAAGAGACAAATAATATATGAATTAAAAAAATTCTACTCTTGCCGACTGTTCTGTGGGTGGTGGTCGCTTTCTGAAACCACTGCGTGTCTAGGACTTTGAAACTTACTGAGGTAGTAGGGGGAAGGAAACTTACATTTTTCTGTGTGCCTTTCCAATAAATGACGAATTTTACAAATTTTTTAAAAAAATGTATGTAAGAATGGCATTATATATATATATTTTTTTACATTATTTTACAAAGTAAATAGTCAGAAAAAATTTAAAAAATAAACATTTATGTAATTTTTCTATAGCAGTGAAAATATAAGTACCTACATAATATGAATGTTTGGCTAAATGGATTAAAAAAAAAAAAAAGACTCCGTGCATTTTAAAAAAATTTCAAAGAAGAAAATTTTTTTTGTGACACTGTTTAAGATGTTTTGTCTTTTTGGTATATGTATAGACCACATTGCAAGTTTCGCACATGTATCTTCTATGGAGGTTTCTTTCCTTGTGGCTACCAAAATGTACACTACCTGGATCTAAATTTCACTGGTATATGTCCAGCGTTATTTAGTTTCTTTTCATCTGGCACATGAAATTTGTGGTTTTTTATGTTAATACAGGAAATGGCTTGGTCTTTTTGAGTTTGGTACAGATCATTCGTTTCTCATTCATACTTATTTTATTCGTATTTCGTTCCAAAATATTCAGAACATATTTTCAATTTAAATAAAACTTTAAGCGATTTCTATTTTTAATTATAGCAAAGTATATTTACATTAAATTTAAACCACTGGAAATAAGTTATAAAATCATAATACTAGCTTGGGGAGCAAGTGTGTTGAGGTCAAAGAAAAGTCTCTGGAAAAGAAAGACCTTTTTACTGGGCAGGTGCATGTATTGTTTTATAATAAAATAACTCTGTGGTTTTAAAACCCCTTATCTATATCCAGGTAAAAATAAACATTTCCTACCTATTTGAAAAGCAAGCAAACGCCATTGTGAAGAGCAGTGGTTTCAAGGTGCGACCACCGAGCTTCTAGAGCATTGTAAGCATTGTGATACAATGCTCTAGCAGCGCAGTGGTCGCGCTTTGAAACCACAAAGCAAATGCCATACATATAGAGGGTTTTTTTTATATATACAGTTTAATTATTGCTTTTTTTTATTGTTTATGATAAAAATCATGATGTGCGATGAATAACTTTTGAAATTTAAAGTTGTTTATATTAATAAAAGGAAGATATTTGTCTCATTGAAAACGAATTTTAAAAGGCATGTTTCAGGGCGCGACCACCACATGTCAAAGGGTTAAAGAATATTAAAGGCAGGCATTGCATCTAAAGAAATAACGCAAGTGTGCCAATTTCAAGTGTAATTGTCTTTGATGATAGTTATTAGATTGTCCAATGCATCTACTGTTCCTTTACGCTGTGTTCAGACAATGGCGTAAAGGGCATAGAGGCGTAGTCATAAGGGCATAAAATACGAGAATTCCGTTCACACTTGCGAGAATGACGTGTAAGACGTGGCAAATGAGAGAAGCTAAATTTGTGCATGCGTGTATGTGTCTACAACTTTAACGCGCTGTTCTCCTGCTTGATTGATTTCCCGTGTTCGCTCTGCTTGTTTTGTGACAGCGAAATCTTCTGTAGAACACGGCTTCATTTTAGCTTTGCTCTGATTGGTCAACACAACGACTTCATATAACAGGTAGATGGCTCACAGAGCATTCGTCTGCTAGGCTGTCTCCAACATATACCACGTGACTTACGGTCTTGGCGCTCTTGGGGAGTGATAGCTTAGGCTGTTCATCGCCAGTTTGGCGTGCTTTTGATATGGCAGGTAGTGTTTTTTTATTTCCGTCTGCTGCTCCTCGAATTAGGTTATTCAATTTTTTACAATTATTTTTAGATATAACTTAACCACTTTTTTCCTGAATATTTTATCTATATTTTAATAATCGCTTTAAATTATTTGCGCCATTGTTTAAGATGTTTAGGTTAAATAATTTTAGGAAGAAAATCTAAACTAAATAATAAAAAATTGAGATGGAAACTTTAATTTTGAATAACGTTTAAAAATTAATTGCAGTACTGTTATAATATTTGAGAAGGTAAAAAAAACTCATTTATTTTTAATACATTGTATCCTTAAGAGAAAAAGAAAATCACATTGTAATATATGTATTTCTGCAATTGATGAAATATATACTTACAGAGTGTTGACTTTCAGCTGAACTATGAACTATTACTGTCCAAACTTATAATATAGTTTATGATACAAAAAGATAAATTATACTGAAATCTTATTACAGAAAAATATTTTACTTTCTTATATTTAAGTAAACATAATTTTACTTAATTTAAAGTCAGAAATAGTTTTTTGGAACAATTTCATTTACCTTTGACCTTTCAGTGTTTACCAATAGTACTTGCATTCTGGAAATGTACGATAGTAAAGAATTTTTTGATTTTAAAAAGATCTTTCACTGATTGTAAATGCCCATTTTATTCAGTTACTTGCATATTAAAATGCTTATAAACTCAGCAATGTTCAGAAAATAATTTCATGCAAACTTGGAAGCTACTGCCTTAACTGTATGCTGCTATACATTAATTTAGTAAGATTTCATATTTTGCACATCAGCTGTAAAATGTAAATTTCCAAAATAAAATTTTCTTTCTGAATTATAATTTCAAATATGACAATACATATTCTATTTTATTCCTGTATCCCAATTACATAAACACATTATGAAAATGTGCATTTAAATATAGTATTTACTATAAAGTAAGTGGATTTAATTACAAATAAACACTCAAAAATGAAGCAAAACAAAAATATACTACTTTGTATGAACACCAATCTTTTAAACCCGAGCAGGGTGCACATTTTGAACAAAAAGCTTTCGTTTTTCACCAGCTGCAAAGGATCCAACTAGCATCTGATGAAGAAATAAAGCTTTTCGTTTGAAAAGCATATCCTGCTCATATTTAAAAGTTTGGTGTTCATACAAAGTAGTATATTTTTATTTTAAGTGGATTAATGCTATTTTTTATTTATTAATTTTTTTTTTTTTTTTTTTTTTTCCCCTAAAGTAATCAGGAACAAGTACCAAAAATCGCCTACTCAAACTGCTAGTCAAATATATTCCAAATTTCCTATTTTTGATTTGTCAATAAGTAATGAGCTCTCTAAAACAAAAACACACAATTTAGCCTAAATATAGAAACCAAACATTATTATATACTACATGAATAACTTTATGAAATACAATACCCTATATATGGCTCTGATATGGGAAATTAGACTTATGAAAAAAATTAGCTTGTAAAACCATGGATATCTTTATAGATATATAAAGAATGTGATATTTACTTTTAAAAAATCAATACATAAAACAGTGTAAATAAAATATAAACTACAGATGTAACAGAACTAATTGAACTATTTTATTCAATGCCATGAACTCATGAACTGTAACCGAACTATTTTATTAAAATAATTCGGTTACTGTACTTTGTCTGTCTCTGTCAGTTCATGAGTTCATGGCATTAAACACTATGCTAGCCGGCATTAGTGTCTATTGAGGAACGGCTACATCATACAATTAAAAAATACATGCTTTTATTTTAACAAATGCAGGGCTTAAATAAAACTGTTTCACAGAAAAGGAAAAAAAAAAAAAAAAACTTTTATGGATAGAAAGTAAAAAAATAGCCTCATGAATAGAAAGCCTCATTCAAACCTGCAAAAGTTCACTCATATAGTTTTGATTTTTTTTTGACAAACTATATATATATATATATACTGTTTGTATGCAACAAAAAGTTAAGGTGTGTTTTCAAGGTTTTTTTTTTTTTTTTTTTTTTTTTTTTTTTTTTTTTTCTAAATTTAACTCCTAGTAAAATCTTAATACACACTTAATCCTCATTATAAATTAAAGAAAATTCTATAGTTATGATATATTTATGTTGTTAAAAAATAGTTTTAAAGGTTTTTAAAAAATCTTAAATTAAACAAATATTACCATGAAAGGAAAAGCTCTGCAATCAAATATTGAGGTGATTAACTTATAAATAGGTGGTACTTTTAAGTATAGGCAATCTGTTGACATTACGAGTTAATACCATTTTATTCCTTATAATGTTTGGTAAGTTCGAATTCACTGCCACTTTATTCCTACTTTACGAGATTATTCTTATGCATTTAGCTTAAATTAAATAATTTTAGGATTTATTTATGCATTATTAGATACACTAGTATACAAATTTTCAGCTCATTTATAGATTTTTGAATTAGCTCTTTTTTTTTTTTAACAAAGTAAACAATCGCACAATCTTATCAATAATTTAATAATAATAGCTTTTTTTTTTAAATCGCAGGCAGTACTTGTTTACGAAACCAAAACGTACGAGTTGGCGAAAAAAGGTTAGTGCCAATTGGCGCAGCTTTCTATTTCAACAGAGTGCACGAAAAAAGAACGTAAA